CCCAGCTTCAAACTGCAGAGAAAGTCCTCTGATTCAGACTAACCCACTCTGTGCACAGGTATACCTGACCAGGGAATGAACACTGCTTTTACAGCCAAGAGGCTAAGACATCAGTTGTTGCGATTCTTTCTTTCCTCCTCGACACACTTACCAGTCCAGATTCAACTCTTTTAAAAGCATTTTTCATAGAAGACTAAAGAGAATCAGTCCTCCACAGTACAGGCAAAGCAGCTTTTATTACCTTTATAATCTACCAACACATTATAAAAGTTTTTCCCAAATCCAGATTTTACTGTCTTTCATTCTTTCTGCATTTTCACCCAGGTTGGAGAATAGAACAAGTTACTTTCCAGAATTTCAGAAAAAATACATCCAATACTTAGTATTTTGTGTTTGCTTCTACACCAATGAAGCTAATGCAGCCCTTGCTAAGGGCAATGCTAACAAGTGTAGTGTCCACTACCGGTGCAGCTTAAAAATTAAAATTTAAAAGCAGCCAGCTAAGTCAAATGTCTGGCACCTACATCAATTCCCACAAAACAGGCACATACAGCACTCAGGAGCAGAGACTAAACTAACCAAAGGCTTCCAATATACTCTGCACATAAAAAAAAAACCAAAAAAAACCAGACCTGAATTTTCAAGGAGACAGAACAGTGAGGTTTACATCACAACACACTGATACTGCTGCAAGAGACAGTGAGAAAAGAGGCAGCACTGAGACCAAACAGGTATCTGGAGAACAGCATCAAGAGCTGCTCACTGGGAGGTTTACTGTGCACAGCAACAAGACCTTGATAAGCAGCTTCTCAAAACAAAAGCTGGACTAGACTTAAACAGAAAAGCAAAAAGCAGTGTTGTTCAGTTGGAAGCCTTGAACCCAGGGCTTGGCTTGCTGAGAATAAGTTGCAGAAGCACACAGAGAGGAAGAATATCAAATATTTGTGAAAAAGGCACTCCACGTTCATCTGCACCAGGAAGGAACAGCAAAGATTTCACTAAGAGTCATTTAGACTGAACGAGCAGAAAGATAACTTGTATGCATTAACAAGCTTGCTACAAGAAGTTACACCACATATTTGAGACCTAATCAGAGAAAGACATGCTTCGCTTTGATCTGTGTTACAGTAGCACTGGCAAGCCCTGCCCAAGTTACACTAAGGGGCTGTTCTCCTACACAGAAAGGCTTCCCCCAAAGACTGCAGGCTGCCTCCTCTCCTCAGCTTTGGCAGTCCTTTTTTTTAAAAAGCCAAGCCAAGACACAGATCAAGTGACCTTCCTACAGTCACATCAGGTTGGAGGGAACACAAGGAATATAAAATAGGTACTCTTGACTCAAGAGACAGGAGCCCATCCCCTTTACCAGGCAGCAAACAGAACACTACACTCCATTCAACTTGAAATACTTTAGGGAAGTGATGTGCAAGTTTCTTTCCTGCGCCCCTGAACACCAAAAAATTCTTCCTAACCCTGCATTTCAACAAGAAGTGGAATACAAGTCCAAGCTCATAACAAAAGAGGCTCCTCTTTAAGGAAGGAAAAACTGCAAGGTCACAGCCTTAAGGTTTATGGGGGTACACACTCCAGTCCTTGTCCCAGAGACTTCAAGTTTCCAATTCACAGATTTATCCCTATGCAAAGCTAATACTCCCAATACAAGAGACACATGCAGACCATGAGTTTTTGCCAGGAACTGCTGCTATTTATACACAAGGAGTCAAAATCAGCTATAGCACATGGTAAGTTTCTCATCCTCATTGCCAGGTGGCAGCAGAGGTCAAAGGCAATCAGGACCTCTTCAGGTCTACAAGCAGTGATTTGTTTGCTGAAGAAAGGTTTTAAATGATCTTTTATGCAACATCCAACTCTGCTAATATTAATGTATAGGGCCCATAAATTCAGAGACAGCTTCCAGCCAGGGTACAAAATGCAGGAGCAGCAAAGTTAAACAGAATCCCTGTAGTGGACAATAAAAAAAAACCCACGGTAAACCAGCTGAAGACAGATATTTGCAAAAGCAGCAAGTGACATGCAAACATATCACCTTCAGCAATCCTCATGAGAAGCAAACTCAACAGCCTTAATTTCCAGGAAATATTAAGCACCTGCTGAATAAAATAGCTTCTTCCAAGTACCTGAAAGTGGCTGCCTGAAGTTAATCATCACTTCATAAAGTTTAACAGCCATTTGCATTAAGAGTTCCACAGAAGCACTGTAGTTAGAAATCAGGATTTAAAAAAGGCTTGTCATTAGATCTGAAACATTAAACAATTAAAAGTAATTAATGTTTTAATTAATGTTTTTTATTACTTCTAGATGTTGCTAAGGGCACACAGGATACCAGCCCTGATCTTATTACAGTCTCCCTAGACACTAGAAATACCTTAAATAATTTTTCCACATCAGTTAAGTGCACATGAAAGATGAGAGCCATAGAGAAGTGGGGTATGTTGCTTTTAAAGCATTATGCTCTTCAGATAACTCTCCTACTGGAAAAGCGTACTTGCTCCCAAATACCCCTGAAGTCAGCCTGCAATGTTTTCAAAATGCACACAAGAGTCTCACCATAGCAAATCAACTGCTTCCAGCTCTGAACAGCTTTGGCTGCAATCCTCAAACAAACAAACTCCTGTCACAGTTAACTCCCAAGAGAACCTGCAGGAACTGGGAACCTGTGTACCACGGTGGATCTGAACTGCAGGTAACTTCAGCTCACACCCTGGGTGGTGAGGGGAATTCCTGTTGCCTAATTTCAGGCATTATGGAATGTCTAGGTTAAAGACAAGGCTTTCTAGGCAGTTGATGACTTTCAGTATTAGTATCTCAAAGTATGTCCAGAGATCTTTAAGGAGGAATCTGGTTCCTAGGACAGGTATCTAAACTCGGTGTGACTAAGGAAAGCACACCTAAGAAGCAGCAACCAGAACACACAATAGCTGGGTTCCTGCAGCACCGTCCATTCAGACCCTCCAAACTGAACAACGTGATTTGTCTCACGTCCGCGAGCAAACAGCCTGTAGCCCTGTTGTACAAGATACGTTACAATCATGGTGAGATTCACCTGCCTAAACCCCCCAGCACGGTGTCCCATGAGAGCTTTTAAAAGCCCTTCAAGAGCCCAATGAAACATTGAAACAGAAGCTGAAGGACTGTCAGGTGAGTGGTACCAGGACATCAGGCGATGCAATAAGAAGGTGGATTCTAGAAAGCTTTGAGCACAGCTCAAGTTCTACAGGCTTCTTGCTCCTTTTAACTTACAAAAAAGTTGCCATTTCCTTCAGTGCACTCAGCAGCACATGCAAGCAAACCAGTTCATCAAGAACTAAACTGTGCCATCGAGATACATGTAGTGAAGCCGTACTACTCTTTTTCAGAATCACAGGTACGTTGACATTACTAGATGACAGGTACTGTAGCTCTGGCAGATGCCTGCACAGTATTTCACCCTTTACACAGGAAGCGCATTAAAGAATGAAGAGGTTAAGTGACTTGAACTGGGTCACACAGTGACCCCCCGGCAGAGGAGCAAGCTCAGCTCAGTTGCTCTGACAGCTCTGGTCCACGTGCTACCAAGAAAAAGCCGTACCTCCCTCATGAGTCGTGCTGCTCTCCAGCATGTCATGCGCTCTTTCTCGGCTATACTGTGCACACACACAGGGCTGTAACTCAGTAGATCATTCACAGGCACAAAGCAAACAGGAGAAAAGTAAAGTTACCATCTCCTGCTACTACTTTCCCCAGCAACAAGCCATTTCCTTTCACCTGAGACAAAGTCCACAGAGGCTCTGATAACACTCAGCAGGTGCTAGCACAACCACGGACCCAGCCAAGGCAGCACATGACCCTGGAAACACAGAAAGCCAGAATTACTCCCATTCTGCAGCCCCTTCCTTTCCCATAGCAGACGGACCGTGGTCAAATGCAGCTTTTGTTGCCGTTTCTTACTATTACAGATAACTTTCCTGAAAGGGATGCCCTTATGGAGGTGCCTGTTCACTTTGTGTTCCCTGCTGCACGGTATAACTTACTAGACTGCGATAAAGAACTTAGCCAGGCAGAGATCACGTTGCCCAGTTCTGGAACGCGAGTAACTTAGATCTTACTTGCTTCAAGGAGTGGGAAGAAGAAGAAACAAGAAAAGAAAAAGTCAAGCAACAAGGATTCTTCCAGGAGAGCACGGCTACCAAAACATTACTTCCTCGGTAGTGATGCAATTTAATTCCTTTGCTCCCGACTATATTCCACGCTGGCTTGCGAACAAACAGAAGTCACCGCAACATATGAAAAGCCTGCTAATAGCAGTTTTTATCGGCCATTACCATAACACAAGCCAGCCTTGCCATACCAGGCGTACAAGAGGCAACACGAGGCCTCCTCAATCTCTACTCCCGAGCCCGCAACGCTCCTGTCATCTCTCGCTCTTCGTGTCCAAGCAGCCGCAGCCCGGTTCGCAGCGGGAATGAATCACGCTCAGCACCAACTCACTCGATCCCCGCGTTTCTCTCACGGACGTACCGACAGACCTCGCTCTTGCCGGCTGGGAAAGAACCGGCGGAACGCAGGAACGCGGGCTGACAGGCTGGGAACCGCCGCTTACCCCGGCTGCGAGAGCCTTCTCCCCCCTCGCCGCCAGCCACCGGGGCCAGGCGGCCGCGTCCTCCGCTCCCCGG